AACATTACAAAAGCTATCGAAACTAATGTGTAGTTTTTTTTTTTGAACGTTTCAGGGTCACCTATAGTTACAGTTTTATCTGAAAGATTAACAAAGTTCTTGATTGGGCTGGCTGGTGCTGCATGGTAGACGAAGGAAGTACTTAACAGCGCAAACGACTCTTCTATCCCCTCCTGTCGTTAAGCACTTTTTCATCTATCTGGAAGATTGTTCCAATATTTTATGGCACGAGGTATAACGCCGATGAATTGAAAGCTTGTGTTCGGCCAAACAGGCGTTCTAAGCTTCGCTGATTGTGCAGGACGCCGAGATATACCGTGCGCACGGGTAAGCGGTAGTGTAGATGGGTGTTGGCTGCAGATTACCTTATGAAAGAGACTGACAAGTGTGATGCTCCTACGAGACTCCAACGATGGAAGAGATAGTTTCAATTTGATACCAGACACGCTTAATGCGGGCCTGTAATCACCTACGATGAAGCGAGCTGCACAATTTTTTGGTGAATCTGAGTGAATTAATCAGATATGCTTGGTGAGGATATATACCATAGGGACGATGCAAATTCCAGTTGTGGACAGACAAATAATCGATAAGTAGGTTAGTTTTCGAGTCGTTGACGAAGCATCCCGAAGATATCGCTTTAGACAACGAGGCCCTTGTGCCTATTTTACAGCAAAAGCTGTTATGAGATCACAATTCAGGTCACGCGCTGTTGTCCGCCGCCACCGCCGCTGGTGTCCGTAACCACGTCACGTGAAATTACGAAAAACCTAGCGCTATATAAAGACACAGTGGCACTCAAACCCGGGTCCGCTGGGTGCATGCCCAGTATTCTACCACTGAGCTACGCCGGTGCTTGGAACGTGTTGCCAAACTTGGCTTAGGCAGGCTTGGTGTCGGAAAAGCAATCGCGTTAATACGACTTATAAAGCGTTTTAAAACAGCGAAAAAACAACCAGTCGTCGCACAATGTGAATAGCGTATAACGAACGGGCCGTCCAATGCTCCAACCCATTATTACAAAAGCTTGTTTTTGTTCCCCTATTAGTGTGGCGCATACCCACTTCAGGCACAATTTCTCATCGTCGTCAGCCACTGCATGAACAATCGGCATGAAACTCCTCGCAATAGCTTAGCGGATACTACGCTTCTCCGAAGAATGACAAAAAATAACACAGCAAATGCCGGCCTACTACCCCCTAAAATGTATTATTAATGGCCTAGTGGGTATCAAGCAAGTGTGCTTGCAGTAGTTACCCAATGATAGTTTTTGAAAAGGCTCTGGAAGGTAGCTCTTCTATCTTTCGCGGTGGCTATATGCTGCGTCTTCCGCGCAGGCCTGGCGTTTTTTTTTTTTTTTTGATATGGTTGAACCAAGATTAGTCCTGATGTCACATGAAGACATGAATACCTAAGTGTATATTATATATATATACTATATATATTATCTATATATATATATATATATTATATATATATATATATATATATATATATATAGATATATATATATATATGTCTGGCTTACGGAACGATTGCTAAGCGAGTAATCAAATGCCGAGTTCGTACGTTTACGACTGAATGCAAGGCACTTGCATTTATCCGAGTTAAGGCCGGTCATTTGCGAAAATGAACACCACTTGCTGATTCTATCAAAATCTTGCTGGAAGGCAATGTGGTCAGTACTAGAGGACATCTCACGATAAACCACACAGTCATCCACGGATAGCATTATGTTGGATGCGATTCCGTTGGGGAGGTCATTATTCAACATTAAAAACAATAAAGAACCTAAAACACGTCCCTGTGGGACTCCAGATTTGGCGTCACTTAACAGGAAGGCATGCCCACGACTGTGAATTACTTGCGAGATTATAGGAAATTTCAAATCCACGATGTAGTTTAGCTATGAGGCGGGTATGGGCTACGCGATCAGAGGCCTTGGAAAAGTCAATGTATATACTAACAAAATATTCCGTTCAGGGTGAACAGGAACTGATCAGTATAGTCGCAATAACGTTGGCTGGTGCCGGACAAACGTTACATAGACCCGTTGCGCGATCGAGTAGCTTGGGCTGTCGATTCATCGAATTCCTAGTCGATGGTTGCGCCACGAGTTGCGCGTGTATGAGGCCTGGCCTCAAGCGCTGGTCGTAAAAGGCCGTAAAGGCACCGTTGATGCCCCTCTCCGGCCTGTCAGCGTTCTTCTTATAATAGCAGCCAATTTCCTCCCCGTGATCGGATCGACCTTGCGTCACGTTATCGCGAAAGAAAGCGAGCTGGTTTCTCCTCTTCCACGTGCTCAGCTCTGTCGGCGCTCGAGGTCAGATTGGTCGTGGTGAGAAGTTGGACACGACAGTCAGCTCGGATCGGGAGACAAGCGGGAATTAACGTCGTCCGGTTAGAGCTATAAAACTGTGGCTCATGGCCATATTGAAGAACGTAAGGTGCCCCGTTTCTACATGCATTTTTCTTGTGTCTCGTGTCACTGTATGCATTCACAACGTGTAAAATTGTAAGCGCATTCATGCACAGTAAACACACACACAAACGCGCGTTATATGCAGTTATACTTTTTCATTGCCATCGAACTCGTGTGCAGATGGCATATCACGAAGCCGCGTTTATATTCTTGTATTTTAATAGTTCATTATTCTTCTTCACAGAAATAAATTTCAAGTGTTACGCATTCCGAGACAAAAAGACTGCCTCCATGATCAATATCACCTATTTGACATGCCAGAAATCTGAGTTGCTTTCCGAGGTGGCCGCCGTTATGAAGGTGGCTGCACTGACATTGCTTTTCACGAAGGACCTAGTTCATAAGCTCAGGGATATCACCACACGTAGCTAGAGTTATACAATAGACAATGAACAACATATGCTAATCTAACCCAACATAATCTACTCAGCTGGCAGAGCCCCTTCGTATTGCTCTAAAGTCATTTGTATGCTAGTTAAAATATTCATCACCTTATGCATTTCAGTACAATTCTGAGAATTTGGCACGTACTGCGTATGATTAGTGTAGAAAAAAAAGAAAGAAAGAAAGAAAGAAAGAAAGAAAGAAAGAAGAAAGAAAGAAAGAAAGAAAGAAAGAAAGAAAGAAAGAAAGAAAGGAAAAAGAAAAGAAGAAAGGAGACAATTTTGTCATCAAACAAAACTTCCAGAAATAGGTCTCATGGTGTGGTCTCTGCATTCTTGCGTCTATCCTTTATTTGGATAGTCGTTACATAACAGAAATAACGTAAAAAATGAGCTCCGTAAGTAAGAAAAAAGAAAATAAAATCATGACAAAAAGTAGGAACAGCCCAACACAAGTTAAGGGCTGTTGCCATGTTATATATCCGTATGTATATTTCACATATATTACATTAAATACATAAGCGATTCTATTCGTTCGAACTAGGCCGGTTAAGTAGGACGAACATGACCATTACATACTGAAAGTAATCAGAAGAGAGGGAAAACACCAACTAGGGCGCGAAAAACGGTCAAGCCTTCTCACCGAATGCCATGCACCATCAGCAACATACGGACGTCGAAAGGGGCGATCATCGTTAATTTATTCCCGAGGGAACGTCTGGTTGCTGCCACTCGCGAGGCAAGAGTAGTGATTCCGAGAAAGCGGGCTTCCATTTCAGCATTGCGGTAATGAGGAAAAGCATTCCGACGTAATTGCGCATACACGATTCGGTCGATGCCTTCGTTACTCGCATAACCAGAGCGCCGTCTGATATAACCTAGACAAAATAATTGCGTTCACTGATATTCTCGACATCCTAAGTGTGTCCTTGTTTGCATTTGGGTAGATTGTCCACTGTATTCAACAAATTTTTAGGCTTGGTGAACGGTAATAATATTGATTGCTGAGGTATTACGTCTAAAAACGACATTATGAATACGAGGTGCACCGTAAAGGATAGCTCTGAGATTTTGACCAAACATGAATCTGAATCTTAAGCATACGGGCTCGTTCGGTGGTAAGCAATGGCACACTGAGCGCATAGGATATATGAAAATAGTTTTTCCATGAAATATTTTAGCGAATTCTGGCCAATAAACAAGGAAAGTAGGTCCACCACGGTGGATGAAGACTCCCGGCTGATGACTCGAAAGTCACGGGTTCGGCGCATTTCGACGGAGACGCAGTGCTGGAGGCACGTGCACAGTGATGTCAGTGCACATTATTAAAAAAAAAAACTCCAGATAGTGGAAAGTTCTGGAGCCTTCTACTGCGGCGTGCTTCATGATTATGTCACGGCTTCGTACGCAAAACTTGCTCATTATAAGAGCTATTCTTATTGTTACAAACAAGTCGAACAAATTTTTTTTGTTATAAGGATAGTGACTTCTGTGTGACTTCTATAAGGACTGTCTCGCTCTGTTTTCTACAACGTTAAAAAACATAAGCATCGCATAGATGTAGCGCGGACCAACGTCATGGAAGTTGAAATTATGTTCTCCTAGGCACTGTGAGGGCGATTCTACATTCAAAGGGTACAAAAAGAAACAACTTGCGTTGATCTGTGGTGATTCGCTTCCTCATTGTTTTAGCTCATCATATCTGTATTATTTGATGCCGCTACAGCGTAAAACAGTAAATAAAGATGACGCTTTACCTTTAACACGTATATATGTTTGCATTGAAACAACATGATGTGTACGGGCACGTAGCTTCCGCCCCGCCGGCTGTTTATACGTGTGTGTGTGCGTGTGCGTGCGCGTGCGTGCGTGCGTGCGTGTGTGTGTGTGTGTGTGTGTGTGTGTGTGTGTGTGTGTGTGTGTGTGTGTGTGTGTGTGCGCGCGCGCGCGTGTGTGTGTGTGTGTGTGTGTGTGCGTGCGCGCGTGTTCATTTGTCGATTAAGGCAAAAAGCTTCGTAGTATGGGGCTCACTGCTATGCTGCCTTTTTCGCTGTCCCTCTGTTTTCTAACAAGAGAACACATACAGACGATGGAACAATCTGCGCTGAAGGCATTGCGAATGCATAAATACGCAGGACTTCGGCGCCGGTGCCAGCACGCGTGGCAGCAAGCTCCTGCCAGCGACTGCACGTGGTTACAGTGAGCCGTTGGTGCCGTTCCACCTGAAGTTGTTCAAGGGCAACCATCAGGTAGGGGACGGATGGTGACCCGTACGAATATTTCGACGACCAAACAGCGCTGTTAATAAAAATAGCGTTTTCTAAAATGTGTTGGCTGTTCCTTAAAAAATGAGAACGACTTCATTTGGATAGTATTTATTACGCACATATACGTTTGGGAGGGACTCGAGGCCGCATACGAATAATTATGCAAATCGTACTGGTCCGTTTTCATAATGCGCAAGTGTGCTTCCCTGCGCTGCATATAACGGCGGCGCCCATCGTGCTTCAAGTGGAGACGAGGTTCCTTGTTGCGCGTGCTGGTACTTGTCTTTTGTGCGTGTTTATGCGATGAGAGATGAGCAAACGTTCTGGGCGTCATCGTGTAATCAGACTGCGCTGATTCCAGTGGCTGTTGCAGCCCTTCGTCTGGCTAACTGCATCGCCCCAAAGCTAGCCTTATGATTCCGAAACAAGGATCTATTAACTTTGTAAGCGGAAGAGCTTGACCATTCACCACAAGCGAAGGCTCCAAAGCATATCGTATTAGCGCAAGCGTCACCTGTAGGTGCATTTCCGCGCCCTAAACATAAAGAGCGCATGCAGCACCGGAATTTTCAGTTGCAGTTGGGAAGATCACGCGGCCTCAGGAAAACGTCACTTATGACGTCACTTGAAGAGCGGCTCATCGCTGTCTAGCTCTGTTCTGGCATTATGATCCTGGCAAAATGGAACTGCATAGCGGCATGATTTAGGTTGGAGGCCCCGGTGACATGGGCCAACCACTGATGGTGACAAAATAGCGATGCTTATGCAGCGCCAGGCAGAAGGTTTCCATTGAGTTCAAATTTTTTTTATGACGTAGTATGATGTCCATCGCGACCCTTCTGTTGTGGTCACGAGATTTCCACATGTGCGGAGACCCGAAGCGCCACTGTTCCGCTCTTTTATGGTCGAAAACACACAGCAGGTGGCCTCCCAGTTTTCTCGGTCTAGCACACTTCGAAACCTTTGTACCACTCATGGAAGTGAGCAGTATGGGCTTGCGTACAGCGGAGCATATATGCTTGTGCACATATGCGGAGAAACCTGAATTGCCGATGCTCGGCTCTTACAGGGTATCACACCACTGGCGGAGTCACTGTTTTCTTGGTCTAGCACATTGCCCCACCTCCTTTTCCCCTGCGCCCTGCGGGCGAGCACAAAGTTTACCGCATACAATTCATCAGTCGGACCTGACAAGCCTGTTATGGTAAAGCAGGTTTTTAACCTTAATGGCTTCGGAAGGACTTCGGAAGGAACGCTTTGTTCCAATAGCGGTCTACATCCCATCTTTACCCCCGCAAAACCAGGAACCAAAGGCAGCTAGGCAATTGTGAGAGGCAGGCCATCACTATACCTTATTTTTGGTTTGTTTTTTGTTTTTTTTGACCCATTGTGAAGTATGTCTTTTGAAATCGACGAACAAACGAAGGGGGGACGGGGGACGGAATTGATACACTGCCCCAGCCCCCACTAACTGAGAACACTTTATGTACCTATGGTAAACATTTTTAACCCTGGAACCGTGTGAATGGAATTTAACATGGCGGTTGTGATCGTGCCCGCATAATTATTCTAGTATAATAGTACAGCATATGTGGTATATATGCTGCCTTTCAGGCCATAGAAGAACGCATGGCTATCTACAACTCTGCGCCTCACCTGTGTCACTCGGTGCCTGTGGTGATGCCGCTCTACGATTGGCGCAAGGCCCTCTCGGTTTGGTTTTACTTCAAAACTCACTGGTACGTCTTCAGCAAACTGAGCCTCAACGAGACTTACTGGCTCAGCAGCGTCAAGGTAAGCGGCTTGTACACCAATGCCGTAATGTTCTTACTTTGTTCTTCGCTGCAGCGTACGCCCCACGTTGCTCGGGAAAGTGTGTCCTCTTTAGTGTGAAACATTTTCTTGTCAAGTATCTCACCGACCTATGCATATAGGCCGCCTACTATGTCTGTTCAACCATCCCGGCACTGCTGCAATGTCATTCAGTTTCATGCAGTAACTTTAGCCTATCCCGTCACTGCTCTCCTACTAGACCGCCGGCTCTAGGTTACTATTTCTTTGAACAACTAAATGTATTACTAAGAAAATTAATTTAACGAATTATATGTTTGAGGTTTCACGCCTCAAAATCGTAAATTCAGTCCACCTGGCGTTCTTCAACCTTCACCTGAATCTAAGTAAACGGTTCTCTTGCATTTAGTCTTCATCGAAATGAGGGCGAGCACAGCGCATCGGAGAGCCCTCCCGCGCCAGTTGTCACGTGATCATAGATGGCGGTTGCAAGCCTTCAGCTGGGCGGACTCCGCGTTTCAATATGACGGTGGCGAATACCGCTGTTTACAAACATGGAATAGGTCTACACTTGCGCGCTCACAGCTCCACTGTCCTCGTGGCGTGCAACTGTCTGCAGCGAGTGAAAAATCGGTGTATCAACCAGACGCAGGAGTTGCTGCCGCTTCTGCGCAAGGACAAGCTCGTAGGGTCCGTGGTTTTCCACGAAGCCACCATCGACGACATTCGCATGAATGTGGCACTGGCGCTGACTGCCGCACGTTATGGCGTTGTAATAGCGAACCACGTGGGATGCTACCGCTTTCTCAAGGACAAAGCCGGCCGCCTGCGCGGTGTCGTTCTGCACAATACGCTGACCGGCGAGAAGTGGCCCGTGCGCGCCAAGTGTGTGATCAACGCAACGGGACAAAGTGCCGACTTCCTCCGGCAGGTGGGAAGGGAGTTACCTCCTAAAGGTTCACACAATAGAGCGTATGAATGTTTTAAACGGTATATTAATTGCTGACCGAGTTCGAAGTGAGCATCTTGTCGTTCACAATGCCATGCGAGTGACATTTTCACATGCCACTCGGACGCGTTATTCGAACGTCGCAGGTGCACTCCCTGGCGGCAGCAAGTTATCTTTTGGTCTACTCTTGTTTCTTAAAATTCACGTTAGAATCACTTCTAATACTATTCCCTATACTTTCGTTGGCATCATTATCTGTAGATATCATTCATACTCTAACAAAGAAAACGAACCCTTGAATGTACATTTCTCTCTTACGTTCACAATAGGCCGAATGAAATCATCTCGAATAGAAGTTTTATCTAAGGCATTCGCAATTATTTGAGCAAATAACACTTAAATGCTTAGAAACTTCTTTAATTTCCGACTGGAGTGTAACGTCCCAAAACCACTATACAATTACTATAGAAACGCCGTATAGTCACGGGTTCCGGAAATATTGGCTACCTATAGGGACACCACAACCACTGGACCATGTGCTCGGCTGCCTTTGCTCCATTTATTCCTGCAAATACAGGTGCACAAAAATTTGTTCGCGAAAAATGCTCGTGAGTTTTGGAACCTCTATTCAGGGTAAATGTGAGAACTGATCTTATAATATGTATTTTTTCATTTATATTTGGCAGAATATGAAAAGGTAGGCTACGCTAGAGCCGGCTAGTGTAGCCTATCTTCGTTGGATCTATTGATGTGGTTTGAGACCGGAGGTCCTCTGTGAGCACTCTTGCAATGAATATCTGTAGGCACTGTTTTTATGTTTGACACGACATTCTACGTCTATGTCAGATTTAATGGCTACCCGCCGCGCTGACGTAGTGCTGCTCGGCTGCTAATTAGGAGGTGCCGGAATCCTATTCCGGTCGTGGTGGCCGCATTTTTGATGAAGGTGAGAATGCTTCAAGCCCGTGCGCACAGGCTTAGACAAACGTCGAAAACTCCTAGCTGGTCGAAAATTCCGTAGCCCTCCACTACGGCGTCCTTCGTAATTGTGTTGTTTTTGTTTGGAACGTTAAACCCCAGCAATTATGATTAGATTCAATGGCTCGAACACACACTGTTATTCTCTATTCCTTCTCCAGGCAGACAATCAGGCGTGCAACGCGATCGGAAACCCAGTGGTGAGCACGTACATGGTCCTTCCGTGGCACTTTGGCAACAAGACGACCGCCATCCTGACGACGAGTGACGACGAGACAAGGATCGCCATGCCTTACCAGGGCCAGTGCCTGGTCTCGGGCTCGCACAAGAAGCTCGACTTCACTTACACGGGGAAACCGACGCACGAGGCTGTCAGCAAGCTTCTGCGCGAATGGAACGAGCAGCTGGACATGCACACGGTGTCCGCGAGGCTGAACGAGGTGCGCGCACTATCTCTGTCACCGTGGCGCCCTTTGGTAAGCGATGTTTAAATGCTTTCTCCAAGCTATCGGAGTCGCGAGTAGGACGTGGAACGCCTTCATGGATCATGCCAGCAGCTTGTCAAATTACATGCTAAAGCCCACAGAAATAAAACAAAGAAAAGGTCTAGGCAGTTCCACGCCGTAAAAAGCGTGAGACAACGAAGCTGTTCTACATTTACTCGGTTCTTTCAAGTTTCATCGTCCGTTCGCCCAGTTACTTCCAAGAGACTTGTTGTTTTTTTTTTCTTAGTCAGATCTTCACTTCCAGTCCATGGCTTTGGTTAGCGTGTGTTACTACAGACTCCTCTTTCTGCTACATCTCTTCCTTCCACCTCCAGCCTACGTTCTGCCATTTCAAGAGCAACAGCTCCACTCTCTATCCGCAGTTTGAATCACCCGCTCTGCGTAAGTTTCATCATGTGATCTCTTTTGGCCTCTCCTCTCGCAAGGACTCCTTTCGGCCCAAGCCAAGTGACACTATCTAGCGTGACCACACCGACTGTGCCGATGGTACAGAGTCCGCATAAGCTGCTTCACTAACATTCAGCAAGGACGTTGGCGTCGACATGTAGGGACCATATTTGTAACGCACAAGCTTTAGCGTTCAGTGTGGGACGAGAGGAAGGCACTAAGGAAGGGTTAAAACTTAGGCCATATGAAAATAACTCATTCTGAAATGCCTATTTCGACATGACTCTGATGGTCGCATTCCACTAGAACAAACTTCATCACTTCCTGCAAATGCGGTAAAGTCGGCCTGGTGGCTCAAATGGTGCTATACCGACGTTGAATAAAGAACACTGCGTATCATCACTATATCCCCAACACACACACACACACAAAAGTGGGGAAGATTTCAGGTTTGTAACATTTTCTTTATCACTATAATTCGTGGACAAATGTTTATTGTGTTGTCGTTGAGCAAAAGCCTCACAATTTCAATACTGACTACGTGATTGGGACAGAAAACTGCCATACAAGAAACGTGAGACTGTGGTATTGAATTTGTATCTATAAACATACAAACACACACTCTACCTCTGGTCTGACACCTATATATGCTAAAATTATCCTTTTGAGAAGAAGACCGAATACACCCTTTTCCAATTGCTTATTGAATGTTTCTGTAATTTAAGGGCAGGCAGAGTGGCATGTTTGGCGATGCCGTCCAGGATGCTGTTGTTAGATCAAGAAGATTTCGACTGCAAACTCGGGGCCCGTATTCCAGAAAAAGAGGTTGTACGCAACAATACCTGAAAACGTTTTTCAGCTAACCCCGAGATTAGAGATACCACTTGCAAAAACATCTGAACATTTGCGAAAACAACTGAAGAGAGATAGTGTGAAGCCTTTGATTCTATCCCAGAATTTATGGTTGCTATTTGCTTAAACAAAAATATTTCCCGCTGACTGGGTCTTTGTATTAAATTATTCCTTGATTTCCATAGCCTATCCATACATCCTGGCTTCTTATTTTAAATTGGTATAGTAAAAACTATAATATTGTGACAATTGACTCAGTTTTCCGTCACTGCATAAACTACTTCGTATTCAGCCAATACCGAGAGTGGGTACATATCATTTTCAGCGGAGGCGGAAATGCTGTAGGCCCGTGTGCTCAGATTTGGGTGCACGTTAAAGAACCCCAGGTGGTCAAAACTTCCGGACCCTTTCACTACGGCGTCTCTCAGCATAATCATATAGTTTGGGACTTTAAACCCCACACATAATTTATCAATGAATCGTTACTGTATGGGAAAAAGAAAAATCACAGCATATCCACGGAGTGAATGATGACGAGTGGGGCGAAACGGCTGGCTGGCTGGCTGGCTGGCAACGAGCAGGAGCCACCGCGCCTAGTGAGATATGTTTACGCCTGACGCAGGACAAGGTTAGACTAACCCCCGTATTCTAGAACGTCCCTTGACTCAACGCTTCACCTTCACTTGAGAAAGCCGATGGTAGCGCCATCTCTAGGCAGGGCAAGTTACTGCATATCAGCGATAATCTGCTGTGATTCTTGAGTAGCGCAGCGTCATCTTCAGTCGAGCGGTGGCGCAGTGCTCAACTCTGTCAAGTGAATGCTGAAAATCGAGTCGAGGAGCGTTTGTGCATACGGGGGTAAGAAAAGCTTCGCCCCTAAAAGAAAAACAATAAAAACAGCCAGGCATGCGCACCGCACAGCGCAGTCACAACGAAAGCTGGAAGAGCTGCATTTATGGGTTTTTTTAAACAGCCTTCGGGCAAATACAACAAGCACACTAGCATGGTACCCACTACGTCATAAATCATAGTTTTTGTGTAGTTGGGAGGCATCCACTATGCCATTATGTGACACTCTTTGGAAAGGCGTGGTACCCGCTACACACTTGTAAGCCATAATGTGCACTTTGTTGATGCTGTAGCTGAAAATGAGGAATTATGCCGGAGGTTTTTGCATTGGGTTAGATCATTCAATGTACAAATCCATTGGGCTTTTATTGAACATTGGTGATTAAGCTAAAAGACGAAGACGATGAGCCTTAGCAGAGCATGCCGCGAGCCTTCAAGCTCGAGGCCACCAGGAGGAGAACATCATCATCATGATTATGACCACCACCACCACCCCTGCATATCCGGTGTAGTGCATACGCAGCGCGTGGTAGCTTTCGAAAACAACGTCCAGTTAACGCCTCCTTCAACTAAAGTCCAGTCGGCCGTGAAGGCATAAGTGTGTTGTCCTCTCGACGTTAGCGTGGAGCGTGTTGGACGGCATCGCAAGCCCAAGAGAAAGGTAACTCTGCGGTGTTGCAGCGAAGACTGCGAGGCGTTCATAAGCGTCGAGTTAAGGATATTGCTAAGCCTTGTCACCACTTTTACTTTCCTGCAAGTATATATTTGCCGCCCTTAAGGTGACGGTCACGAAGTGTGCGATCCGAATATGCAACCACTACGATGCCCTGTAGTAACCTCAAAGCGCCGCGAGGTTTGGGGAACAGACATTGGGGAGTTTATGATTAGAAACCCCATAAGCTTTAGGCCCCAAAGCTCTTTCCGTATGCACGCTTTGAGTCGAGCAGTAGCGAAGTGTTTCATTAAAGAATATATGGTCTGTGCCGCCTTGGGAATTCACCCAATTTTTGGTCACTTAAGTCTTGGCTGAGAGGCGTCTCTCCGGGTGCTGTCACGTTTGTCTCGCGCAAAGTTTTTGGGGCTGACTTTGGGGCTGCCGCCATATTAAAAAAAATATCGTCCACAAAACGAAGCCCAAACGTTGTTTGGGTTCATGCGCAGCGGTCTCAACGCTATTTCATTGATTTGAAAGCTGCCCATTATCTGCAGCTGAAGTTTTCATCCGAGCATGCTCTGGAAAGTATAGCTCAAACCGCCGCTGTTTTGGAAGCAAGCTATGTCGTTGCTTTGTTCAGCAGGTAGAAACACCACTGAGCGCGTTTATAGCGCAAACGCACCGCCCTGTGAATATGTTTAGCTATTTAGCTACTGCATTTCTACTCTGTGAGATGCTTATAACTTGTAAATGCATTACCTTTTATTACTGATGTTGCCGCATGATATGTAACACCTGTTTTCAAGAGAATCGGGTAACAGTGGCTTTCTGTAGGCTAATGCAGAATGTTCTAGCCACCGCATATATGACAGCCCGACATGCATGAACGCAGGTTCTGTCCACGTGGACTTCGGTTGTTTCGGTGCAAGAGAGCGCGACGGGCCGTGAGAAGCCGGTAGTCGAAGTGAGCCAGAGCGGCATGGTCTCTTGCACGGGTGGAGCCTGGACTTGGTACCGGCTCCTGGCCGAGCGCGTCGTCGACACGGCGTTGGCGAACTGCGAGGAGCTGCAGCCCTCTCTGCCGTGTTCCACCAAGACCATCAAGTTGGAAGGGGCCGCCAATTGGTCGCCAGCGCTGTACGTCAAGCTCCTGCAGAAGTACCGCCTCGAAGCGGACGTGGCCAAGCACCTGGTGGACTACTACGGCGACCAGGCGCAGCTACTGGCGCGCATGGCAGCGAATTCGCGCAAGAGCACACGCTCGGTCAATCCAGGAAACAGGCTGCTACCTCGACTGTCTTTCATTGAGGCCGAGGTATGCACGCGCGACGTATATGTATGACTCAATTTAAGTACGCTGTATACTGAAACCATAATTATAACGACGCAATGTATGCCATGTCTATGGTGCTACCAGGCGGTCCCCAGAATCACTTCCCCTTCACCCCCTACCCGAGAAAACTGTAAATCTGCCTTACTCGGCTGCTCGGCCTTGGAAGGTCAAAAAGCTCTCGTGGCCAGGGCAGGTGCCGCTGCGGAAGCCACAAGGGTCCTCGACTAGGGACACCTCCTAGGGTTTATACAGGGTCGTCCCTTAAGGCCGCCCCTGTCTATCACTTGTAAATAGTTTCAATAAATTTTCTTCACCACCATCGTTGCTGCCTGTGAGGTCCCTGCTTAAGTTCCAGTCTCCGCGGCAACAAGTTCGGATTACGAAAGAGGTCGTGTAACGCGCGTTGGGTGTACGTCGGAGAGCCTTATGCGGTTAAAATTAACCCAGAGCTTGATCCTGCTATGGCGCATCTGGTATAATGACTCCACAACGTTATAACGGCTACACCCAATACACCACTCAGTCACCCGATTACATTACCGAGGTATGGCTGCACGGTCCACAGACATATTGCCACGCGCACTGCTATTTTCGTTGAGCGCGACGCGTGACTGGTGTAACCACTGCCTTGAGCTCGCCGCAATGGCATGTCTAACATTCCGGTCTGTTTTATACTGTTCTGATAAGTCATGCATGCACAGCACGCTCCTCGTACAATACAGTTGATTCTAGAATTAACGTGGCCACCACCGATAGGGCTGGAATCTTCGATATAACCTGTATAAACGCTGACTCGCCTTCCCGCTGATCAGATTGCACCGACGGCCGACGACGGCGGTAGCTGCAATCAGTGTGCAGCGTTATTTGCTTATACTTTGACCTTTGGGTTTTCCGGGCACAACTTTCCCCAAATAAATAGTACCGTATGCCCGCGTCCCGCTGGAAGTTTCTTTATTGCAATGGCCACATAACGGCAGGGACCGCAACATGACTTTCACAGGTTCTCGAGCTTTGATCGAGGTATACATACGAAGCATCAACGAGGTAGACACATGAAGAGATTAATAAAAAATGTGTTTTGTTCCAAAGATAGGGGAGCCTACTTGAGATGATTTGCCCTATATATGGTTGTTAGTCTAACGGCCTACTCCTGGAACGAACAGGAAAACCTGACGGGGAGGTGCGCGCTTCTCAGGTGCGGCACGCTGTGCGCCAAGAGTACGCGTGCACGGCGGTTGATGTGCTTGCTCGGCGTTTGGGCGTGACGTACGCGGACGCCTACGCGGCGGAGTGCATGCTGCCGCGCGTCCTGGACATCATGGCGGCTGAGCTGGGCTGGACGCCGGCGGAGCGCGAGCGCCAGATGCAGCAGGCGACGCACTTCCTGGAAGAAGACATGGGTCTAGACCTGTGCCGACCACACAGACACGCGCCCGAGCTCCGGCTGGACCCCAACGAGTTTGCGCGACTCGTGCGCCTCTTCCAATACCTCGACCAGGCACAGGTCTTGTCATGTAATTCTACGTTGCTCCAAAGTGACGACATTCGACGTTGATCTACATTCACAGTGTCGGTGCCATGCCGGGAGGTCACAGGCTTGGTGCAGGAAACAATTATGTTTGCTTCGTATGCAGAGCATAGTACTTTTATAGCCGGCTGAGGAGTCGGCTGGATTGAAATGATAGTCTCTAGCTTAGAGTTTCCTAATGTACACTATAGAGGGAACTCTGGCGCTAGTGTCTATGGGAGCGGCGACGCACGGCGCTTCAGCGAGCATGGGAATGATGGGTATTACACAGATTTGTCTAATCTTCGTACTTCTGGCCCGCTTCTGGTTCCATGTGTGTTCGTGTGGCTTGGAGTTGTTTTTTCAAACCAAAATCAACAAATGTTCAGCGGTTGCGCTTCACCACCTTATTCTTTTAGGCTTACAATTTCTAATCAGGTCACGGAATTTTGAAAAAAAATCGTTTTTTTCTTCAAAGCGAAACCAGCAATAAATGACGCCGCAAGTACGATTCGTCACCCGCAAGTACGAAGACTAGGCAAATCTGTGTACTACCCATCATTTCCATGGTCGCTGACGATCGCAGCGCCAGAGTCACCTCTAGTTAATTTGAGAAGCTCTATGGTTTCTAGACGATTAGTGTGATCGGCGCGTCATTTCATTGTTCGTAGGAAACGCACAGAACACTGCAGGACCGGAGGGATGCTTTCCATAAGAAAAAGGCCTCTTTACTGCGATTTCGTCTAAGAGCACCTGTATCGGCTACTGTATGCAGCCATATCGTACAAAGCGGGTCTTGCCCCGCCGCAGTGGTCTAGTGGCTAAGGTACTCGGCTGCTGACCCGCAGGTCGCGGCATCAAATCCCGGCTGCGGCGGCTGCATTTCCGATGGAGGCGGAAATGTTGTAGGCCCGTGTGCTCAGATTTGGGTGCACGTTAAAGAACCCCAGGTGGTCAAAATTTCTGGAGCCCTCCACTACGGCGTCTCTCATAATCATGTGGTGGTTTTGGGACGTTAAACCCTACAAATCAATCAAAGCGGGTCTTCGCTCGTGTCACGCTCCGAATAATGAAAGGTGGAAGTATTCCTGTAATGGAGACCGTATAAGACTCACGAAACCATCCCCAGATAAGATGTAGATGCGGCATATATTACTGTGCAGAGTCGCCCACGAGGCAACTGCATGGAGGTTGTGAGCGTCTTTGCTATCACATTTGTCATCTAGTGTATCATGCTACATGGTCTAGCACAAACGTATAAAACCAAAGAAAGCATATATTGTACAAGAAAGAGATTGGGAATCGACTCGAAATGACCGCGGTTCAGGCCCCCGAAGTCATCACGATAGTAATTCATTATAGAGTTTTCGGTGTAAGCATGCATATATATATATATATATATATATATATATATATATATATATATATATATATATATATATATATATATATATATATATATATATATATATATATATATATATATATATATATATATAATATCAAGTGACGAATGCGCACTCTGGTTCTGCCCGATGATCGCCGCAGAATGGCGCGGTGTCACTGCGGCGCCTGCGACCGCACATCCTGAAGGAGCAGTTCCGGCACGAGTCGTGGCTTCGCGTTATGTCGCGCCGAATAGTGGACATCGCCATCGCCCCCGACTCTGAGGCCTACCTGCACAACGACTACTACGTGCCGCCGCTGTACAGGCCCTCGGTCGACAGTGGATCCACCAGGGGCACCGAGGCCTTTACTGAGAAGGTATCGCAATCAAGCGGCCCGCGAACCTTTTCTTTCGGGTCCGCGGCGAATTATTGAAACTCTTTGACCCATATTTTTTATTGACTTTGCAACTGTTTGTGTTACTGCAACACAGTGCCCGCATCATCTTCTCGCCTATCATGATTATTAAGCCTTTTTTAGGGTAAGCTAAACAAGTGTGACTAGTCTTGAATATTTTTTAGGCGCGAAGCTCCTCTCAGTCTAACGTTGTCATGCATCGCGTGCAACCGAGAGAAGAGACGAGAAGAAAAACAAGGCAGTATCTCCCGAAAAGCATAATAGACAGTGCTGTCTCATAGAAGTACATACTAACTGCAGTTGAGTGAGGATATTCTTGATGGCGCTGTACCGCTACTCTCCGATTGGCTGCTGCGCGCGCTTTGCCTGAGTGTGCGGAGAACGCCTCTCAGTCTCCTGGATTGGCGCCGTACCTGGCGGATCGTTGGTGGGGCATGGACGAAACAGAGCGGCGGACGCGTTGAAGACGCTTGCGCTCTGATCTCTTGGGTTGCGTCTCGTCGGTGTTACCCGCTCGCCGTCAGCACTCTCGAACGCGATCGGACGTATGGACGCATACACGGACGGATGGACACACGGACATACCGACGCTTCACCGCACTCATCATTCACTCCGTAGATACGCTGTGATTTTTTTTTCGTAAGGCACGTAATGAAGTCACCCTCTGTTGTAACATAACCGCGAATGAAAAGCTCTGTACATCAGGATCGGCGTGCAGACATTGGTCATATTGAAGATCGGTATCGATATGTTTCATGCAGGAGTACGGACCCATATATTCTGTTGTGACCGATGCCAGAGCTGGCGAGGAAGCGGCGCTCTTTAATCCTCAAACAAGTAGCTGACCGGCCGGCGGCCTATGCCATTCAGGTATTGTCGCTCCTAGCCGGAGGGTGAGACGTCGTGTCACCACGACACCGTAAGCCGTTCGAGAGAGGACAACAAATACAGCATATTCCTTGGAAGGGACCGCAGCGGCAGCCGCAAATCGCCCCGCCTATTAAGCAAACAGATCGGCGGACCCTTTGATGTATGCTGTCATGAGCTTGGGACCTCTCGTCCAGCGGCACACACACGACGAGGAAGAGCTCCGCTGGCGCCCCCTTAGCGTGAAGTGATCGCGCCTCAATATTGGACGTTCTAGGGGGCCGTGCATGCTCATCCCCCTCGCCAGTTGTGTGTGATCTGTGATTGGACAGTACCATCTGCACGTGTTCCCTGATCTAGGGATCTGGGGAGAACATACCCTTTATAATGAGCCACCCGGCTCATTCGAAAGAGCGCCATGTAGAGGAACACCAGATTCGAGAGCTCGCTATGTACGAAAGAGCTCGTCATGTATGAGAGCTCACCATGTATATAGTGTAAATAAACCCTCAAGTATCTCTTCCTCCTGCCTCGACAACTTCATCCCGGACCTCCGGTGCCTGCGAACCCCGCTCGTAACAATTCGGACAGCTTACATCAGTTGGCATCAGCTGATATACAGATTGATTGATTGATATGTGGGGTTTAACGTCCCAAAACCACTATATGATTATGAGAGACGCCGTAGTGGAGGGCTCCGGAAATTTAGACCACCTGGGGCTCTTTAACGTGCACCCAAATCTGAGCACATGGGCCTACAACATTTCCGCCTCCATCGGAAATGCAGCCGCCGCAGCCGGGATTCGAACCCGCGCCCTGCGGGTCAGCAGCCGAGTACCTTAGTCACTAGACCACCGCGGCGGGGCATATACAGTGCATAACCTGACATACGTCAGTGGTCTCAAGTCAACATTTGGCCGGCATGTATTGTTACAACGCCGTCAGAAAAACTAGAGCGCAGCAACTCTTAATATCACTTTCAATTTTTTTTCGGTTTGAGCTGCCATTTAATTAACAAGTCGATAAATTTGACTCTAGAGTAGCTCGTTCGCTGTACGTAGGATAAGTAGTGCATCCTTCTGCCTCCCAATTCGTAAGGCACGTAATGCAGTATATATATATATATATATATATATATATATATATATATATATATATATATATATATATATATATATATATATATATATATATATATATATATATATATATATATATATATGTGTGTGTGTGTGTGTGTGTGTGTGTGTGTGTGTGTGTGTGTATGTATGTGTGTGTGTGTGTGTGTGTGTGTGTGTGTTTTCATGCGGTCGGATAGATATTACCAGCAGAATTTTCTGGAGAAGCACGTGTGTCGTACTCTGGCTAGGTTTCTGCTCGCGGAACAAACGCGGATAGCGGTAGTATATGCGTATCGATTTTGACTACAGGGCTGTACATATCGAGAGTTAACCCTCGCGCGCGTCTGCTGCCCCAGGTGGAGGCACTGTCTAAGGCGCTGCAGCTGAACCAACAAACGCTGTCCGAGATCCTGGACGAAATGGAGAGCGCGACGAGCGGCAGCATGGAGCTGGGCGACTTCCTGCTCTTCATGAACAACCTCAAGGTGTGCCTGCACGCCCAGCTCAGGGCCTCCAAGAAGGACCCGAACATCCCCGAGCTCGTAGAGCTGCGCGGCAGCGATGTCTACACGTCGCTGCCCAACGCTCCGAAAGTCTACACCATGTAGGGAAGACGGTCGCGCCCCACTCGTGCGGTTCGTACGGGTACGGCGATGGCGCCACCAGCGGTACCGCGGCGCAACTCGGTCGCCGCATTTGTCGCCGCATGGTCGCCGCATTTGTCGCCGCATGCCGCATTTGTCGCCGCATGGTCGCCGCGCGTGCAGACGACGCGTCCACACTGCATCACCGAGAGGCTGCGACACGTGCGCTTTAAAATCTTTTTGTTTGGCTTATTTTTACGATAAACATTTTTTCGGAATTTGTACACCTGCAATGTTTCTTTTGTAGCTGCGCTCGTTCACTTAACCAGCGTTGTAATCTGTCGAATTTCAATGAAAAATCAAGTGAACAAGCGAAAAGATAGAGTTCGTAATGAAATAATTGGATGCGCAAACCAACGGGACACAAGAGAAGAGACAAACAAGCGCAGACTGAAGCTCAGTTTATTCAGAGAAGAAACTATATACCAGAAAGATGAGAAAGGGAAAAAAACTGGGGAGAAGGTTCCACCATGATCAGGTGTCGTCCAGAAACGAGATTTCACAATCTAACAGTGATATAGATGGCGGACTAACACAACTACCACTATTCTTTTTTAATAAAAAAGGCTTCCGCAAATGTCCTGATGGCTGTACAAGACAAATGTGCGCGAAAATACAGGTACGCAGCCACACTTTTTGCGATGGGCGGACAAATGTAAACCCGGGGCTGATTTCAGCGCATTGTAGTGTTCTCGCAGGCGAACATTCAAGCAGCGCCCAGTCTGCCCAATGTATAACCTGCCGCAAGACAGTGGAATACAATAAACGACATTAAATCGACAATTAGTGAAAGAATTGACATGCTTGACACTTCAACCTTTCTTCACAAGACCTGCCTTCATTTCGCTTTGTAATTAAATTCTAGAACACATTTGCTGAAAAAAAATTCAACCTCGACGTTGTGTTTTCCGCAAGTGGAAAACTACAGCAAATTTGTTCAAGCGTTCACGAACAGTAAAGCATGATAATTATAGGCATGATATAGATTTGCCTAGTCTTCGTATTTTACGTTTGTTCTTTCTTCGCGTTGCTTGAAGATGCTTTGTCAAGAAAAAGAAATCAGCAAATGTTCGGAAGTTACGCTTCACCACCTTAATTTTAAGCTTACCACTTCAAATCAGGTCACAAAGGGAAAGATACTTTGTTCTTTCTTTCGAAACAAAACTAAAACACAGCAATGAACGAAGCCACAAGTGTGATTCGCCAACCGCAAGCACGAAGAGTATAAGCAAATCCATGTCATATATATAATTCCGATGGTCGCGGAGCAACCGCAGCGCCAGTGTTTCGTCTAGTTAATTTTAGAAAACTATGAAGTGCGGAACCATTCCCTACAAAGGGAATCGGTCGCGACCTCATTAACTATGACACCTCGTGGAGAAATACCTGACCCTATTAACGTCAACAACTCAAGGTCGCTTACTGACGGCATTTTGATCAACGCAACACTTAAAATTGCCTCCTGTGTGCACTAGTTGAGTCCACATGTGACAACCGGTACCGGTACGCTATTACACCTCGTCTACATGGACATTACCAAGACGCCATTATGGTGGACACGTCGACGTTTCTTTTCCGTTAACTTTTGCTATTCTTTTTTTTTTTTCCTGCTTCGGAACGATAATTATCCTCCAGGAGGAGCGGCCTCCATCGCAGCCGCGCTGTAATTTAGCACGTCGACTTTCCCCTTTCCGTTATAGGCGCTGAAGGCAATGGAAAAATTTCACGACTGGTTATGCTTGCCGCTACAAGGAATCGCGGTTTTTCGGAAATTACACATTGATAAAGATGGCTTATTGTTCGTGAACGTATGGAAGAAAGAAATACTACATGCGCGTAAACAAATTGGTTGACAACTCAATCATTCGAATGGGACTTAATGGTGGCAATGGCCCGTTACAACAGGGGATACCGAATATTATCCAAAACTTTCCATGATTAACTATAATTCATTCCTAATCAGAATATTAGCCTTGATAGGAACGCCGCACAAGATGACGAAAAAACAAGTGCTCAGTCGAATTTCAACAAAACGAGAGGTTTTGTACCGGTAACGTTAAAAGAAGGTTTTGCTGAAAGGTAGTCCGGTGTCGTTTCTGCCAGAAGCTGACCAGTGCTCGTATAGCGTGAGAGTAAGTATACGATATTTGAATACCGTCCAAAATATTCGTTACACAAAGGCAGTACCACCACTCACGCTGCAAGGCACCCATAGACTTTACTATAAATGGACTGGCGGAGATTCTAGCGCTAGCTTCTGTGGGAGCTGCAACGCACGTCGCTTCAGCCGGCATGGGAACCATTTTACACGGATTTGTCCAATCTTCGTTATTTAGTCGCCGTTTGGCTCAACGTGGCGTGAATCCGCTTTGCCGCTAGCCGAAGTTCAGTATAGGCTCAGTGTATCGTTACGCTGCATCACTTTATAGGCTCACTAATTGAAATCGGCTCACAAAGTTCACAACGGTCCTTTATTTTATCCGAAACAAAACCCAAACACAACAATAAATAAACCCACAAGAGCGTTCCAAACCCACAAGCATGAAGACTGCACTCATTTGTGTACTACCCATCATTCCCATGGTGGCTGAACGATCGCAGCACCAGCGTCCCCTATGAAGGCACCTACTCTTGTAAAACGAAATAGCTCGCAATCTACTCCAGTTTTTTTTTTTTTTTAATGCTTCGAACTTTCAATGTTCAATTATATCAGCTGCAAAGAAATGTATGACCTCTCAGACCAGCTTGTTACGTAATTATTGTACTAGCAGTCTACTTCGTCGCTGATACGCTTCATTGTACTATCGCTGTTGTTGCCGCTCTCTCATTGTCACTGGTGAAAGTCTTGTTCCTTCACAACTACACTCTATTCGATATACATAAACTCTTCTTTTTCATTGCACCCAGAGCGGCGAGCCTTGATCTCTGCGAGGGCTGCACAGCATGCGTCGCTTCCTTACTATGTTCATACACATCCCCTACGTCACTGTCCCTACTATTGCGCGTATAAGAACCAAATATTTCCGATTCCGCCGTATTTCTCTCTGTTGTACGCCCCCTTCGTAGCAGCAAGGTGTGGCATAAAGCGCGCGAATCTGATTCTCGTAAGTGAAATGCTGCGCCTGGAATCTTACTGCCCCTCCCTTACTTAAGCGACGCTCCACGTGTACGCGTAAAGGCTCTCGAGGAATTGATTGCGACGCACGGCCACCCGACGATGTAACGGCCGCCTATCGGACGTACGAGAAAAAACGACCGTCGTGCAGCGCGAGTGGCGCCTGGCTGAGGACTGTGGACTTGCGTTATTGAAAAACCTCCCGACACAACTTCACCGAAAGAAGGCACGCACCACATGACGGCATGCCTAATCGCTTTGAGACGTACCGCTTGTTTGAAAACACTAGCACGCGGCGCGTGCCAGCGCGTACACTTTGGAGGTCGCCTCTCGCCGTTATCGCGGCATCGCCCGGAGGCGCGTGACCGTAATCGCAGCCCCCCCCCCCCCCCCTTTCATCTTGCAACGTCAACAAAAACCCGCACAGAGCCTCGGTGTGCGCGCGCCAGCTATCACAGGTCTGAGACCGAACGCGAAACGCCATCGTAAAACGAATGGATTGCAAGCGGCATACTATGCTGGCGCCAGAATGTCGCGCCGAAGTACGCGTGCGTCGTTTCACTGTCTCGCCGCAAGGAGCGCGGCGCATCTCTCCTTCTTTCTCTCTTTTTATGACGTTGTTAGCGTGGCAGCCAATGGCGGCCGCGTGCCAGAACGGCGCCTCAACCATCTGCCGCGCGAAGCCGGATGCGGCGCAGTTTGCGTCCGAGCACGTGACCCTACGCTTCGAGAGGGAAGTCATCCGCGCGCGCCTCCACACACCCCTCATTCATTCTCGGACCGTTGCTCAGTTCACTCGTGCTGCCGACTCGTGCGTACACCTTTCAATAACCATGGCCTTCATGATGCCCGTTGTGAAGAATGACTACATGATCTACCAGCAGAACGGCGGTAGCTCCAAGTCCCGGCGCAGTTCATCGTGCAGTATGAGCAGCCGTGCTTCCCGTGGTGCCGCATCGGGCCAGACCAGTCTATCCTGCTCGCCGGGCAGCGACGTCGAGGAGCGGTTACGTGCCGTTGAGTCTGAGCGGGGCACCCGCAGGACTTCGCGTATCATGGACGTGCCCGTGGCACCGAGATCGGCCTCGCAGTCTTCCCTTTACAAGAAGTTCCACAGCAGGGTCGTGGACAAACTGAGGAAGACCCTGCGTTCTAAAGACGACTCCGTCGTCAGCACCGAGGACACGTCTGTTGTGCAGAAGAACAGCCTGGCGTCCTCGTGATGTTGGCTTTTCCCATCCTAGCCGTTCCACTGCACCCATAGACTTGTGACTGTACCGCGGCGCCCGTTAGCACCTTTCGTTACGCGCGAACATTCTTTTTCGTGGGACCACCGCCTGGTGCTCTCGCGCGGCACCGCGTTCCTTCGGTTCATAAGCCGCTGTGTACATATGTAGAGAGCTTTGGATTTCACGTGCCCTGCGGCGCAGGTAAGGGAGCATGCCAAGCAAGAGGCCACTGTGATGTATGCTCGCCCGTGGCTCTAACCCAACGGTGCTTGCCTGCTGTCAAACATCTCTGTCTGCGCTGCATTCGTCCGGCCGGCCCAACGCGATCCGAAACACCGCCGCGCCAATGGTGCTGCTCATTCCGCGGGCCTTCAGTTATCATTATATAACGAACGCCGAAAATGCAATTGTGTGTATATACCGTATCATGTATGTGCCGTAATCGCGAACTATCTGACATTTGTGCTGCCGATCAACTGCACGAAGAACGCAAGAGAAGTTTCAATAAACGGCGCGGTAGATCCTCAGCCCCGTTTCAGGGCGAGTCTACCGGCCTTACCGAGAACACTGTGCAAGTTTTCTATTTGCATGTAACCACGTCGCACTCTCGCGGGATGCGATGTTGCATGCTACAGCGTTCGCGGCTTGTTTCACTTTCAGATAAAAGTGTCCGGAAAAGACGCCGATTCTCGCCAATCTTATCAGTTGGCGGATATGGGTGCGGCTCTGGTCGCATGAATGGAGCGGCGCTCCGTCGATCACAGGAAGTGGCGCACCGCCACTCCGTTCCGGCCGCGCCGAGTGGAAAATTTCCAGCGCTTGGCGCCTCTCTTCCCATTGGTCGGCAGCCGCCGCACCCCCGCCGCGGCTGACTGGATTGGGACGGCGTTGGCGGCGTGGCGTAAAAGAAAAAAAAAATCGCAACGTGTCTTTTTTTTTTTTTGCCTGCACGCACGAACGCTGAAATCCTCTCGCTCTCTGCGTTTTTCCTCCTCACTGTTCGATCCGTTCTTCCCGCCACGCGATTTGGAATGCGTGGCTGCCCCCCTCGTAAGCGGGTCATTGCGTTTCTTTTTGATCTTCACTCTTTGCTGCTTAACTACTCAAGCTTGTCTGAAAAGTTAAAGACGCTGCAGCAGCCTGCACGCGTCTATTAATGAGCTTCGTTCATCGCATACAGAAGAACAAACGACTCAGATTTTATCATCCGCCTAAGTTCACTTACTGAGCACACACATTCTCGAAAGCTGACGTTAGGCATGGTACCGTGCCGGCCAAGACGCACTGAGTGCACGCATGAATGAGTCCTGAAGATAACGTTTGGATTTAAGGCCAAACCCCATGACACATTGTACGTGACAATGACGAGTCGGATATCGCCTTCACGCGAACAGTCGCTTGTTTAGGCAAACAAGCGAACTCCACTGTTGCTGTATAGTGCTTAGAATATATTCTAGGCACTATAGTTGCTGGCATGAGGTTGTCTACTCGTACCAAAAATGCCGCGTAGGTAGAGATATGCAAAGTGAAAATAAAATGTGTTGTGGCATAATGCAACGGAGGGTGTTTATTATTGTCTTGCAGATTTTTTTTTTCTCTGTGCCGTCATAAACATTGCGTTACTTTTTGTTAAGTACGCGTGAATCTGGTGGAGAGGAGGTGGTTGTTTCGTGGCACACGGAGAGAACCGGCAGTACGTCAGTCTTGTACTACGTCCTGTTCCCGGCGCTTTGAGCACAGCACTTTCGACCGATAGGCGATGTTTTCCCAAGTCTGAAAAATCGAGCGATCGCGCGAAAACGGCTAGGCGACACCTTGCGCAAAGGTCCTCTTTTGTCGCTCATATATAGCATCGCTGTCACGTGCATTTCGCGCTTGTGGTGTTTGGCCTTTAAAGATTTAATATTTTCATTTTGTGCACTCTTAAATAAAAAGCTCAACAATAAAGAAATTCGAACGATAGAAAATATACATTTGCGGGAATCACAAGCACTCACTTTATACGCGAGCAGACTCTACTGAATGAGACACACAGGGCTCTGCCCAGCGTGCTGCTGATTTGTTTGGCAGGCAATTAAACGGCGGCTTGGCTATTGCTCTAGAATGCATTTTATCGTCTGTGGTATCTGTCGTAAAACATGCACTTCATAAACTTCGCACGATGTTTCGTGGAAACTCACCAACGAAGGTCTTGTCACTCTTAGATAATATTAAAAACTGCTTGAGAGCTTACGCAGCACTAACCGTAACCATTTCTTTCACCGTCTGTGCAGTCATCCATCTCCTGTACATGTCGGGAGTTTCACAGTGGTGCTTATTTTGCATAATAAGATTTACTAACGATCCAGAAGGGTTTCTTTTTTTTTTTTGTCTCTTTCACTAACAATTTGATCATCCTTAAAACGGTTATAATTGACAAATCCATCTAAACAAAAAATTTGGTTTCAATTCGTTATAAATGCATTGTCATCAAAAAAACGGGGATGAATTATGATCTTCGTTTTGCATTACCGCCGTAACAGGTAAAATTGCAGGGCACGCCGAAACATTAATTTATTAGCCCAGCAAATGACAGAAGATACAGTAATGCTGGTTGTACATCTTTCAATCTTCAGAGCGAAGCATGATGCATCTTGCCGTCGCTGCAGCCACGACTATCGCAAAGATAAAACGGTGTCACTGGATGCGAAGCCACCAGCTCTGAACTCCGTGGTGACATTCCGAGCAGGAAATTGCTATCGCTAAGATAAAATGGCTCGTCCCCCGTTCCTCTCAGCATCTCAATCCGTGCTGGCGCATACCATCTAATCGTATTCAAATTAACGCTACATTTCAACCTCTTATGCTATATGTTCTATTAGTTATTATCATTCCAATGATGCCGTATTTTCTGCAGTGGTTTCGCATTAGGTTTGTTTCACCACACGTGTGCTGCACTTACGTTTGGTATTAGGTTTTTCGTATCACGTACTTGACTGAATTTTTTTCTCGCCAGCTTGTCTCTCTCGAGACCTGGAGTATTCAGAAATAACTACATTACAGAACAGCCATGCCTACAAATCGTTCCATCAGTTCCAGTTTATGCCAACTCGGACCAAATTAATTATTTACCACTACGCGACTTATTTGGCACCCTGATGTCGCTTACTGAGCGATAAATATCTCCGAACTTATTTATTCGTCTTGCAGGAGCTATATATATATATTCTCACTGTCTGTTATCTCTGCTTATTAATTTCTTTTTTCTTTCGTGTACGGCTCGCCCTTGCTATAAACTTTATGCTGAATCTGTCAAGTTTATATCACTTTATTGTTGAACGCAGCGCGCAGCTCTTCGTATAATAAGGCACGCTATATTGGCCGCTTAATCAGTCTACAGTGTCACGGGGATGGGTTTTCCAGAATCTGGAGATGACCACTTCCACTCAAGATTTGAATTTCACGAATTTTCCTCCTTAAAAGCCCGTTCTTTCCGGAGAACAGCCATCGATAAAAACTGACGTACCGCTCGCAATTTACGCCGTCGGATCAGCAAACTTGGCAAGCGGCACCTGCTTTGATAGGCCACGTTAAAATCTAGAATGCTAGTCACCAGGAATTTGTTGCGATCGATAACATCGGATTTACACAACTTGCGCGTTAAGGGCTGTGTCAGTCCACGCCTACACACTGCATGCATGAGCTTGCCGGGAGGCATACGGTTTGACCTTTACGCCTAAAAAGTCGCAAAGAGTGGAGAAGTGCGCCTCCTCTCTCCGTCTTTCCTTATGTTTGTGCGCTTGACGATACCCTTTCCGGCTGCTTTAGAATAAGGAAGGGCCGGCAGGCAGTCAAGGTCGTTTGTGATGGAAGCAGGCTGCGGAGAGACTGTATTGGAGAGTAAATAAAACGCTTGCCCTCGCTTAAGGAATGACGTCCATATATAGTCAGCAAAGGTCGAGAGAATGTCGCCTTTCGACCATGCATGGAGCATGATGATGTACAGGCGCGCGCGATCAACTAAACACGTACAGACACGCACCCTTGCTTTTTGTCATAAGAGGAACGGTCCATCGCCTAAACATCATCCTCTTCCGCAGGATCAAATTTGGCCCCAACTAGGTCCAAGGCTTTCCAGCTGCTGCGTTCCTATGGCCAGTGTTGACCTTTACTTATCTCGATACCTTCAACACCCTTCCCCTATTCGTATTTCTGTTTTCTCTCTTGATAGACGGTCACCGTGCATGCTAACACCCATGTCCTCTTTTTTACGTGAATCGATTCACTGTTCGAACTAAGCGATCAACTTAACGTCCTGCAGCAGCGTGTTTTAAAGACGCTCAACCGTAAAGGTTAAACATTTCACAACTTCGAGTGAGCCGTATAGCAGCAAATGTTTCGTGTGCAACTTGATTGTAGAGTGTACTCACATACACGCGCACAAAAAAAAAAAAACGCTTCTACGCTTGATTTGGTCGAGAAAACTTCAAGTAATGCGTATGCTGAAGACATTGTTAGCGAATACAGCCGGCCAGTCTGAAAGATCGCTTACGAAAAGATAAGTTTTCTGAATACACTCTCTGAACTTCACCAATCGAGCGTTTGAAGGTTACGTATACTGTGATGGAGAAAAACTATATTCTCTAAGCTTCGAATAAGACTAGGTTTCGAGCTACATCAAAATCTTGCTTATATCAATACCTACATGTTTGTCATGCGTTTGCCTTGAATGATACGTATTTTCTAAGAAAAAAGAAAGCAGACACCCTAAAATTTATATACTTCAATTTTGTTTTGACTATTTTCACGGTAACGTGTTTTATCTTGTGTGGTAAGTTTCGTCAGCGCTACTACCATTTAAACGCGGCAAGCTTCCTGGCGAATCCCTCGCATTGAGGAAACAACCAACGCAAACGTGTAAAGTGTCCGGTGCTGAGTGGCTGCGAAAGCCCCGAAGCATAAGCGCGTAACGATATTAAGTGATTCTGTACCATATAGACAGCTACGCCATGTACTTACTCTGCTTTCTAATGTTGTTTTCTTCTGACGTAGAAATGGACTATGCGCACGCGATCCGCTAAGACTATTTTTGTCACCTGAAGTAGACGGAGTAAAGTCCTGCACTAGCCCGCTGTATATACCACGCATCAACGGAACCATTTTATTTCGAATACCTTGAGTGAGCGTTATCAACTCTTAACGGCTAAGGACACCACTATAGGGTTCGCACATAATTAATAACGAGAGTCAATTCAGATGTAAAACGACCAGAAAACAGTGGCAAACCGCGGCAAAAGACTAGCTTTCTTTCTTTTTGCTGCCCCATAGTCACTTTGCACAAGTGCGCCGCCACCAGGAAGATATAAATAGGAACATGTCGACACTGCTTAGACAACAAAGGGTACGCCCACTAATTGACATGATCGATTTTTTCTGGCGAGCTATACAATACACAAACGCACGCATATGGTCCCTCTTTCACTCCTCACGCACGCACACAAATAAATGAACATAATGGATAAATGTTTGAAAATTGTTGATCGCTCAACTGAAGTAGTTATATGTAATAGTCCAGTAGGTCGTTCA